GGCTACAGTTTATAAATACAAAATCATATTTAGGTATATTTTTGATTTTAAATGTAAACTGTAACAATTTTTTTTACAATTAAAAGAAAAACATGAACCCTATACTGCTTATAGGTATATAGTATATACAAGACGTACCTATATATAGACGTATAGTTATCAGTACTTATCACTATGTCTCTTTTGTACATTTTATTCACTTATATTCTATAATCGATAAGAGGATTGTAAATTATATTGTCTACAAAATATTTAGCATCAACTAGCACTAAATACTTTTAAGATGATTGTATTTACCTTCAAGTTAAGCTATTTTTCTTTCCTATCCCTTCAAGGCTTCACATAATATGCTTATTTTGTAATTGTATACAGATTACGTACTTCTTAAAAATAAAGATAAACGAATTTTTATTTACCACAATTGTAATGTTGTTTGACGTTGTGTAAGAAAGGAAATCCAAAATGTCTATTTAATTTTATTAAAAAAATTAACAAACATTTTAAATCAACATATATATTAATACCATTTTAATTCATACCATTAATTTAGTCTATAATTAATGGATAATGTTTAAGAATTTTATTTTACCTAAATTCTAGGCTCCACTCATTGCTTCATTATTGTGTAAAATATGAACTATAATGGACATTTATTTATAACGTTTACTCAGATATAATATGATAATAAGACGATTAATTGACTCGAAATAAAATTTAATAAATTTAAATGATAAGTTATTATTATTTTCCACCTGTACGGGTAGGTTAAATAAAACATATACGCCAGCTAAACGAATTCGAAATTTCCAGATATAAATGTGCTGTATACTGTAAACTGTATAGAATTATATACATTCATACCTGTGAGCTTTGAGGTGACCATAATATCACCGTCACCGAGTGTATATTCATATGTTCGGGGTGGCCCAGCTCATAAATCATAGTAATAGGTATATTATATATAATTTATATGTGCGGGTGTGTGTGTTTTAAAATGAATTATGAAATGGCTTATTTATTATTATTGTTATTATTTATACAACCGCTTTACTATATTATGCTGAGAAACAAATATAGAAATTTGCATTTATGTTTCTAATTAATAATTATAAATTAAGAAATATCATATTACTTTATTATAGGTACTAAATTTATTAAGTATTATATTACGAGTAGCTTATTGGTTTGTTTAACATTTTACAACTTTTTAGATATTATTTTAATTTTAAATAGATTTTTAGTTTAGATTTGTATTTTTATTATATAAAAACACGTTAATTAAACACTTATAAAAAAGTTATATGTTTATTTGATATATTTCAATTGTGATAAGAGTAACTTATGAGATATGAGGAACCTTGTTTTATATTTTGAAACTTTTTTAGTCACATACAAAAATTATAGAACATTTTTTATGCCTATCACATTCACAATAACATTATAATATTTTGAAAACCATTTCATGTCTACTAATTATAATTATAATATTTGATAATATTTATCAAGTAGGTATGATAATTTGTTTTAGAATTAATAAAATAAACTTGATTTAAATAAGCATAAACGAAAAGAAACTAGTGACACTCGAGAGAAAAATATTAAGGAGTATTTTCAGCTCAGAAAAGAACAGTGAAAATAATGAATACAAATGAAGGATGAAAGCAAAACTAAGAGAATTATTTAATGAAATCGATATAATAGGTATTCTAAAAAGTAGAAGACTTAACTGGTCAGAAAATGTGTGAAGACCATAGGATAGAGCAGATAATAAGATCAAATTATGAAGAAGACCTAAAGAACGGCCAAGATAGCGGTAAAGCGACTGAGTCAGAGAAAATCTAAAGCTTCTTGTAATTATAAATGGAGTGTTGCATTAAGAAGTGTGGCGAGACATCGAGCATGCGGCAATGGGTTTAAATGGCCTCGAATAAGTCATAGAAAAAACGGTTATCTTAATATCCACAAAGTTTTATTTGTAAAAGTACATATTAATTTTAAATTTTAAATATGTAATTTCCAAGTCAGCTTTAAGTATTATAGCTTAAATGTAATCATATACTGGTGGGAGGGGGAAATATAATAAATATGTTTTACTTATAACAGGCATATCAAAATGGGCGCATGTAAATTCCACCGATCTTTTTAAACTTTTTTTCGTGTAAATTCCACCATTTTCTTGTGATTTATTAGGTTGTAGGTGGCACCTTTTCCCATCAAATAATTCTAGTAATAAAATAATTGAAAATATATCAAGTTAATACTATTCATATTATAATAAGTAAAATAAGAAGTGTATCAAATCTAATTTAAATATTTTAATGATAAATTAGTTATTAAATTTGCACTGGAAATAATATACAAGTGTGACAGTTCCGTAGTTGGCAATAATGGGATTTGTGCTGAGATAAACATTGTTAATGATTGTGAGACCTGTGGCCAATACGCACCGTTTATTGAAAGGGCAGTTCGAGACTGACCAGCAACAAACACGAACTCACCAACAAACATGAACTCACCAACACCGGGATTGTTTACCAACATCTACATGTTGTTAAGTACAAACCAAAAATATATTTTGAACAGAGATTTATAAACCAAACGTGTTTTATTTATTGATAAGATCCCACATACCGTGTTCTAACCCCCTAGCTACGAGAAATTTATCCATAAGAACCAGAAAACCTTCCCTGGATAACTAATATAGTAACTAGGTTCTCCTGCCACGTTACACAAGTTTTAGGCACAACGCTGTAAAGATAATTAAAGTGAGAATGTGTGAAAATAAGTTTAAAACAAATGATTGAGTCAATCTTTGTCTTACCTCTATAGTGAAATATTTGGAGGAAAGGGCATTCTCTTTTTTGGGGCACTGTTTTTAAATTATATATATATCATCAATAGTTATTATATTAGTCTATTTTTAATATTAAAATAAGAATTAATTTATTTTTGTTTAAATTGTTGTTGTCAATATACATGTTTTTTCTTTGATGTCAATTATTTATCAGTTATATTACATATTATGACTCATATATTATATATGAGCTTACAAGTAAAAAAATGCGGAAAACAAATTATATAAACATATAATATATTGTATAGGTATTTATATAAATATGCCACTGGGTGTGAGAATAGTTTATATGTGTTTTGCCCTTATAAGCTCATAATATAATTATGTTATATGTTAATTCTCAGCTATATAGTTAAATATAATTTTTACGTATATTATGCTTTATTTTATATTAATATAACTTGTTTAATATTAATAAAAATTTTATTTGTGATTCAGTGGCGTTTCTTTAAAATATTTGAAGGACAGTCGTTTCCGAAATTTGATAAAAAGCGTTCATATTGTAAATCATTAAGTCACTCACAGCCCGTCGATCTATAGGTGGCAATGTGGTATGTTGATATATAATAAAAAATAATGAGAATACGAGGTTATTTTTAAGAAGTGAGATCCAGACTTCATAATAATAATCATTGGGATATTTGTTTATAGTGGAGATGCATTGATGTTCGGATTGTTCGGAGGGTAGGTGCTGTATATAATATTACTATATATAGATTTAAAACTCAAACTTGTGGAAAAATTGTATGTTTGTTACGTCGCTGAAGAATATTTATCATAACTAATAGGATCTACATATAATTATGATATCAGATATTATATATATTGCTGGGTAATCAATCTTTTAACAGTAAACACTCATTATCTCTAAAAGTATAGAGTTTAATTAGTAAATTTAATTATAATGTATAATGTGATTTTTTATTATAAATCATTTTTTTTAAGTTCTATTTTTTAACCATTATCTTTTTTAGATTAGTACCTGTTTACTTTTTTTGAATGATAACGTAAATTTTTGATTTTAAACAAAGCGACGGGTGTCTTATTATATTTTAATAAAGAAATGTGTTTTTTCTCTTTTATAAGACTGTAGTTTGTAAGCATACTTTTTATATATATACATGAAAGAAAAAAAAAAACTTTAATCTTCAATATTGTGGTTGATTTTGTCTTATAGTAGCAAATTAAATCTTGTTTATACTTTGGGGAGTAAAGAGAAAAAATGTCTCCATTATTTTAATAATAAAATATGAAAAATTAAAACAAAAAACGGGATGTGTACCTTCCTCTGTTTGTTATTAAAAATATTTTCTAAAACGATAAGAAATTTAAAAATAATAAGTGTTTAGTATTAACTGTTAAAAGATCAATTGAAATAAAACGCTACAACTGCGAATAGTGTGAATAGATGTACTATTGAAAAATCTCTCGAAAAGAACTGTCATCGTGTATATTTATGTTATATTATAAATTATACAGATATCTATACTCTTTGTAAAACACTGCTGCATCTATTGTTTGTCGGTACATGCGCACTTGAAAGGTTAAGTATGATATATAAGATCATGCCACCTCTTCGTATTCAAGAGGCTGTAACAGTAGCTAAATCGAATATAGAATATTTATGTACGTATTTTATTGAAACATTTTTCCATATATTTCATTTCTGTTGTCAGTGGACGGTGACACGTTATATTATATAATTCAGATTAATATGTTATGGATTAAAACGGCAACAAGATTGTATTTTGAAATAAAAATTTCATACTCGACTTTTATTCATAATCCACGCGTAATTGTGTTTTTTCTTATAAGAATAATGTTATATTTGTAATTAAAAGTGTAACAATTAAATAATAATAAACAATTTAATAATCATTAATTATTAACGTAGTGTATAGTACAAAAATCACCTCCGAAAAACATACAACAATAATAATAATAATAATAATAATAATAATAATCTTAATTGAAACAAGTAAAATAATACGACTAGATCATTATACCTAGGTATACCAATATATCCAGCTTATTCCTTTTATATTTCATATGGGATTCATTAATTTTTATTATATTTAGATTCAATTAAGTATTTAGTTATACTTATGATTTGTTAAGCCAAATGTTCTGATTTTATATCTATTTCAATATATTATTAATTTGCCACTTCTGTTATGATCTCCATGTATAAATAAAGTACCAACTGTAAGACGCGTGTGCTAAAAATTTAAAATTTTTAATGTCTATTAATAATAAAATATTACTTGCTTATTATAAAAATATAGAAAATTATGTTAAATATATATAGGTAAACTGAAACTGATTGTTATTTGTTGCTATTTACAAATGATAATGTTTTCAATATTCATGATATTAAATGTAAAAAAAAAAAAAAAATGCTAATATAAGTAATAAATAAACTAATAAACTAACTACTCGTATAACGTTAAGATTAAATGTTTAGATACTTAAATAACATTTATTTATAATAATCTATAACTAATATTTTTAGTACGTACACTAGTGAGTGGTTCTCTTTTTTAAGTTTGTTCAGATTAAAATAAGTTACCTCAAGCAATATTTAACTAACAATAACGATTATTTTTTTTAGTATAAATCTGAAATATTATATTTAAACACTATTTTCCAATTTCAGCCACATGAATAATATTGAAAATGTTCTAATTTTATCAGATACCTAAACACAGTAGTGTAACCAGAATTGCTAGGTGTACGTTTCTGGTTAGGGGGGGGGGTTAATATTTTATTTGATGTGGCAAACGTTACGAAACGTTTTTCATAGTTGTGTTGTTATAACGAAAAATTATCACAATATTGTTTTTATCTAATGGATAATTTATATCAATATTATATAGATATAATATATACTATTTAATTATACTTAAATATAATAAATAAATTATTTTATACGGCTCGAGAGGGAAAGGTGGTAGCACCCATATTATAGAATATAGACTTACAAGCTCTTTTAAAGTTATATGTTGATTAACTCTTAAAAAACAAATAAAATTTAATTAAAACAACTAAAATAACTTATTAATTTTAATTTATATCCTAATAAATTTACATACCTAAAACTACTAACTGTAACGTAGTTGGCTTACAGTTATTCACGCAGTATTTCTTTAAAATATAGAAAATTTCTCCAATCAAAATTATTGCTTTAATAAATAGCCACGGGTATACCAGTTGATGATAATTCTGAAATTTTGATTTAAAAAATTATAATTATAATTTTGTATCCACGAATATTATACGTAATATTATTATTATTATTGCAATATCTATTACATAATAATATATCTATAATAATTAGATATATGTATATAAAAAGTTGAAAAACAAACATTGTGTATTATACAGTTTTCTTTTATAATACCAATATTTTAGTAAATACGAATATATTACTTATATTGTTAAATTATATTTATAGGTACTTGTTTTATTTTTACAGTTGATTAGTGTGTTATTAGTACTAAAAGTACGTATATGTTTAATGTGCAAGTACATATATTTATTAATTAATGAAAAACCATGATTCAAAATTCAATATTTATATTCTTATAAATATATTTATAGTCATAAATAATTATATACTTCTCTATATTACTTTTAACTATTATATACCTATTACCTATATTATTATTTAATGCTATATCCATTATTTCTGACAATAAAGATTATCATTATTTTAAATGTGTTGTAAATATGTATTATCTTACTCGGATAAGAGCAGCAATAATCACCAAAATATCACAAATTGTTGTTGTTGTTGTATAAGCGTATCCCCAATATTCTTTGAAATGACACATAACTGTAAACCAGTATATAATGTACCCAAGTATGTAGTAGAAACAAATGCTACATGTAGTAGGTATATAATACATTAATATCTATAAAGTAGATAATTCCGATGATATTTTGTACAAAAATTGAAAGTATAATAATGACAATAATAATAATCAACATAACAAACCTCTTATTCAACTCCTATAAAATATATCACAATTATTATTCTTTTCTTCGAATATTTTTTCCTAATATTAAATTTGTATTTATTACTTGTATATTAGCTATAGGCTATGATTTAGTCTTGTTTATACTTTTGTTCAATAAAAACAAAAATAATTTTTTGATGATTAATTTTTAATTTTTAATTTTCAATTAAATTTAATACGTATAATTGATTAAAATTAGAATGGACAATTCATAATATGCAAATATTGTTTAATTACAATATAAATGTACTAAAATAGTTATATTAGTTCAAATACCTATGAGTTGTATTTTATATAAACTTTGTTTATGTAATATATTATATTTATAGTTCACTATAGTACTTTTAGTATCAATTTGATACTATCGACGATCGTTTAAACATTGAAGTAAAATATTGAATACAAAACACCCAATATGTAACTATGTATGCACATCATCACAAACAAACAAATTGTTCAATAATAAATAATAATAAATTGTGAATACCATACACGTAACTTTATTATGTTGATTATTATTATTATATTCAGAATGATTTGTTAATTGGACAGTTAGCATATGATAAGTAATAGTTTCTATGGTGTGAAATATTTTTGTAGACAAAATTATATATTTTGGTCTAAAATAATTTTTTGTTTATGCAATTGCTTATACATATATGTTTTCACTTACGAAATTCCTTATATCGATTTTCTAAGTTTGATACATGTACAAAATCTGTGACAACAGGACAACTATAATAACCGTTACATAAACACCATTTTTCAAAACCACTAACAGACTTCATCATCTAAAATAAATGAAAAAATTTGAAATATTATTTAAAAAAGTTTGAAATAATATAGTTATTAAATTAACATAATAGTTTTCCTTACTTAAAAGATAACGCTTAATTTTAATAACATGAAACAATCGTACTACCGTAATATGGAAATATAAATATTAAAAAATATTATTACTAATAAATTTTAGTTCGAACGGTTTGGTTAAAAATGTACAGAAAGATAATGTGAGTATAATATTATCATCGGATTATCTTAATTGTCCTTACCAGTGACGAAACAATGAAGACTAAGATGTACCAGTTTATAGATGAACACGTAGATTTTGAGTTTGTTATACTTCTTTTGATCTAACCAAAGGTAATATATTTACAAACATTTATTTTTTAAACAGGATTTTAGAGTTTTAAATAATTACTTGATATATTTTTAATTGTAAAAAAATATTTTCACCATAATTTATTAAAAGCTTGATAAAGTTTGAAAGATATTGCGTCATTTCAAATTTTATTTTTCTGAACACTGAACGTACTATTTAGAATGAGTACATTAAAACAAAAAACATAAAAACATGTTTTGAAGATTGAAGTTTTAATTGTAATGGTTTCTATAAAACGTAAAAAACATGTATTAACGAGCTTGTTATGCTAGTTATCATCTTATGTGAGTTTTGTTACTCTGGTCACCATTATATTATTGATTTGTAAATATGATACCATCTTAGGTATCTATACTATTTATAAATCTATTTAAAAGTAAATATTATGTTAAATTAAATCGATATAATGAAGATTCTATTATTTTGTACTAAAAAAGATATTTATAGATATTATAGTACGTATCTATTGTAAATTTAATATATGTTTGTATAATAATGTTATATTAAATTATTCTATTTGTATTATTTTCTTCGAAAAAGATATTTTTTTTAAATAAGGTAGGTAAGATTGTCCATTGAATACTATAAAGATACAATATGGTTTATTACCTTTACCTAGTAAAAATTAAAAAGGCTGATGAGACTACAGATATTAATTCTTATTTAAAAATCGGTTAATAGTATTTTAATTAATTATTCAGCAATTTTATAAAAGTATTTATTGAAAGATATCTGTTGTAAATACTTAAAATTATTTACCATTGTATAAATATTTTTATTTTAGTAACTACTATTTAAAAGATTGTTGAATCTTATAGTCAAATTTTAATTTTAATTTAATATATTTTAATTTACTAAAGAAATTAAAATATTATATATTTAATTCATTTTGATTTAAATTTTTATTATTATTAATTATGTATTTCAATATTTAGTTATTATTATTATAATTATATATTTACATATTTTATCTTTCATGGAGTTTTATTTCATTAAAAATAAATCATTATATTAAATAGTTATTTATTTATATACAAAAAACAATAACGGTATAGGTAATAAGTAATTAATACTATATTAGCAATATTGTTGTTTTTAAAATGCATTCAAAATTAAAAAATCTACAATATGATACTTGCTAGTAATAATAATAAATTGTGTTTGTATGAAATATGTATTATATTTTTCTTAATCATTCTACGTAAGGTTAGGTTCAATCAAATACCAATTAATTTATTTCGGTCTAATGATACACTTTTTCACAAATTCGTGCGAATAGTCTGTAGAAAATAGATTACTTATTTATTTGACAAAACCTAGTAAAATTTTACGTATGATCTACAACATAACATGAGTATAATATTATATACATTATACATGAATAAGATATAACAAATCCACACACACTGCGGTCAACAGTGCAAATTTCGCTTTTAAATGTTCCACGCATTTGCGAATGAAAACATTTCTTAAAATCATTCGACTAATATTTATATTGTTTTTATTTTCAAATATTCTATTACGAACACATTTTAAAATATTTGAAACATTGTACGCGTATGTAAAATATATGTATTATGTTTATATATATTAAATATATTTACTGCATCGATGTTGCACCCGCCAAAAACGACCGCGCAAAGCGCACACGCGGCATTCCTCTCGGCGGTGGCTCGGCTATTTGTAGATACAAATCGTTGTAAATTACAATCAGACTCTGAGACGAAATAGAGCTTTGTGTCTCACTAAATAACATTAACTACTTTATTTGCCGCCGCGCGCATTGCACCACCACCGAAGCAGCAGCCACCGCCACCGTTCCCGCCATCACAACGGCACATGTTTGTTATTAACCCCAATATTTTCGTTGGCATAGACTATAATAATACGTCGGTGTGCGCGTCTGAAAAGAGAATAATATTATGATTATTTTGAATAATACATTTTATAATTACACCTATTATGATTATATGCAAAAAAATCTTTTAGGAAATATATATATGTTTATATATGTATTTTATTATATATTTATATTTAGACATATAGCTTAACATATCAGTATGTCACATTCAATATTTTTACAATACACGATGTTTACATGTTATTTTCATCCAGGTTTACGTACCAGGGAGTGTTTTGCCGTTTTGGATATTCAAATATCTGAAACATTAACTGAATTTTTTTTAGCTGTAATAATTACTCATAATAATGGCCTGGTAATATTTTTCCAATTTTTTTTTTTATACATTTACATAGTCATACACGTCGGCTGAATTATTTTATATTATGATATCGTTAAAGTAGTTCATAGCTATAAACACGGTGGTCCAATTAATATTCTTAAATTATATAATACCTATAAGTAATTATTATTACTTACTCTATCCATATAGTAATTCGAATTAGGATAATAGTTAATATTATTATGTAAGAACAATATTATTTACAGCTTTACAGGTGATATAGAGCATTATTAATTGTTTTAATTGTAGGTACATAATTATATAAAGTTATATAATATATTTTGTAAATAAACTAATAACTATAATTTGCTAGAATTCGATTATTAGATAACCACTTTACAATCAAAATAGTGGATTGAAACAGCATATACAATATATATTATATTATATGAACATATAATAAAATAAAAACGAGTCTATAAAACAAGTTCTTTTGAAGTTTTTTTATGCTGACATGGTTGGTAGTACGACTTCAATACTCGCGGATGTAAACTTAATGTAGTATATCGTCATGCACTTTGCAAGCCGTTTAAGTATTTTAACGGCTATTACGCATTATCATTGTGTCGTTTACCAACACTAATCTTAGCACCTAATATATTTAATATTCTAGAAGATCTTACTCATCCAGTTGTGAGTAGTGACGTTAAAAATGTACATGCGGTGTCATCAAAAATAAATATAATTTATATATTGCAGATCTTGATGATGTCTCAATGTGTTTAAGCCGTTAAAATAAAAACGAACTATACACTAACGACTAATTATACTTTAGAATTTACATGATCTCATTAAGAAATATTTATTTATGATTTACTGAATTATTTTTAATCTAACCTAGACTTAAAAATTTATAACAATAATAATGTGTTTTTTAAAGAGAATTTTGCATAAAAACGAAATAAAATTCTGTAATTGAATTAAACTTATAATTTTAATGGAAAAATTTAAGTAGGCTTTTGGTATAGTATTTGAGTTTGAAGTAAATGTTATTTTTTTTCGAGTTTTGAACTGAATGTTTATGTGAAAATAAATCTCTGAAATTAAAATAAATATACATGGGACGATGTTATGTTTTGAGTCCCCAACGACCTCGATAATGATTAAACGTTAGTGTACGGAAACTAAAACCATCGTCTTGTAAAAATCGTTTAGACTCTAACGGCTGTGGGATAGAAGTAGAGTGATTTCTACCCCTTAATGGGCTGCGGGAAACACACGGGTGGTATCGGTAACAGGCACACGCGACCTCTGCACCTACCCGCCATCAGTCATTGCAATACGTGGAAGATGTTATATAGGGGTGTTCAAGACTTGACATGTTTCTTGTATTTTGTATTTCAAAGGTAATCATCTAACATTCTAACCAGAAACAAAACTATTGGGATCACGTTGTGTAATATATAGTTAGTTAATATTTAATAATATATAGTTTATACTACAACGAAGACATTCATTTATTTTACTTTATGGTCAGTGTCGTTGTTAATGTATAAAACGAAGTAAACTCAACAGAAGGAGAAATACGACTCTCAATATTATGGCAATTTTATTGTCTTAATAAAACGAATAAATTACAAAAAAATAAAGTATTATATTATTACAATATTACCATTTGCCAATAACGTTCATATTATATTATATTATGTATACCACACTAACAATTTAACTATAATAATAACACATTAACACGATAGAAGATATATAATTTAAAATCTGGAACGTATACTAATTATTAACTTATAACTTATAATAAGTAATAAAACTATATTGATATTATTATAATTTAAATATTTAAACTATCGTCATTTACATCCTTTCTGTTTTATTTACAGCTCTAATCAAATTTTAAAACAAAGTTTAATTTTAGAAATTTATAAAATTTATTAGACGTTATAATTTTCTATATCCTATTTTTATAAGTATACAATCCCGTTTAATAATTTATGAATAATACAAATTTGAATTTCACCTAAATTTATATTATACAATTTAATGATTAAAAATATTTATTTATTTATTTATTTATTTATATATATATATATATATATATATATATATGTACATAAATTAAGGATAGTATTAAACTAATTAGTTACTGTTTTGACAAGAACGCGTTCTACCTGGGCGCGTAATCATTTTGCAAATATGTATTGGATGTTTTTTGAGCTTCATGAAACGTGGAAGGTCTATGGTGGTAATGATGCTGGTAAGACATGTGGTATCCGGTCGCTATCTCGGTGTTAGAGTTCTTTTGATGTAATCTATATAAGTAAAAAAATCATGAAAACAATTTTTAAAATTCCAATTTTTTTCTTTTCTAAAATGAAAATTGTAAATATTAAATTATTTAAATTATAAATTGATTAGACTTGAAGGTGATTTTTCCATAAACCATTGACACATGAATCGTAACGAATTAATACTTAAGGGGATTAAATACCGATCGTTAATGTTTATAAAAACATACCTTCATTCGTCTTTCGCTAATTATACGAATAAAAATAGTTTTACGTTAAGAAATCTGAAAACATAATTAAATTTATTACAAAGTTTGAGGGTGATCATCCTACTTTATAAAATTTTGATTCTTCTTTTCTTCTTAAATTTGATTATGAAATTGACGTTTTATTAATCAAGATTATTACATAATTCAAAAAAACAAAAAAGAGATTGTTTTCAAGTAAATTTCTTAGCAAATTATAATATGTTTAAATGTTTAATAGCGCTCTAGTATCATTTTTACATGTACAGCCATGCACACAACGATTACTACGCAGTATGCATCATGGCGTAGAAACTTAGAAAATTGCTTGTATTAAACCTTAAATAATGGTTGGTATAGAATTCTTTTGGTAAAATTAAAGATATTTAATA